TACATGATTTGTTGAGATATTTGGTTTTTTGCTTTTTTGTTTTTTTTTGTTTTTTGTGATAAATGCGTTTTAACTCGTTATGAATTATGTTCTTATCTACATACATATATGTAGAACAAGAATTTTTTTTTAGAATTTTTTCAGATATGAATAAAACATAAAAATTTCATTTTTTCTTTTTATTCTTCACATTTAATATGCAATAAAAAAAATTTTTTTTGATGACTTTGTACGAATAATTCATTTGAATATTTATTTATTTATTTTTTGCCCTCCTGTGTTAAGAGTTTTTAAAGGGCTGGTAATAATATTGTTAGCATTGCTATTATTTACTCTGTAAATTGATTAAAAAAAAAAAAAAAAGTTTCCCATCATACAATTAATTAGTTTATTTTGTCGATACAAAATGATGGTCAAGCGAAGTTATTTATTAATCAATTTTTTAATATTTTATATAATTTTAAAAAACCATTAAAACCATAAAAATGTGCATTTCCATGCGCATAAGGAGTCATATCGCCTTCACCGCGAACTCTCTGATAACTAATTTGCCCTTTCTCTCTCTGTGTGTGTGGTTTTATCTTCGCTAGCAAAGCAGCAAGCAAAAGTCAATGATGACCAGCTCCTGAGGCAGGAAAAAATTGTATAAAGAAATATTTTTGTAAAAAATTATAAACTTGGTTTAGATATTCAATCTTATCTTTGCATAAATAAACTGAAATGTTCGTAAGGGAAAGAACATTAAATTCATTTAAACCTCAGCGTCGGTACGCATCATTTGAAGAGAATTAGAGATTGTGCCACTTCAAGGTCCGAGATGAAATCAAACAAAAGTTTATTTAAAAACTATAATAACACCATCTTATCAGTTAATAAAGCCATAGCCAGTTTGGGCCGCCATTGCTACAGAGTATTGCTATTGAGCCGATTCTTTTCATTTTACTAGAGAAATTTGTATTGAGCTTCGCTCGAAAATAAGTTATGAACTAAAGGTTTCGACTGATAATGGCAGGTCGTGCGGATTACCGGAATTCTTCATTCATCAAATTTGCATTTATATACATTAATTTTTTGGTGTTAATTAACGCTGTTTCTCTTATTAGGTTTAGTATTTTTCATTGTATAACAGGCATGGGTTACCGCCGGCCGAATATCGCCGAGTCCGGCCCGTCACGTTTAAACTCCGTCTCGAATACTCCAATATGCTTGCAAATAGGTTGTACCTGTCTTCCCATTCGACTACGCAGATGTCAAATATATAATAAATGGTTTTTTCTTATTCATTAGACGATAAAATAGGCGACTTAATGGCCAGGAAAATAGATTTTTCTTAGTTGTAGATGGACTTTGAAATTTTCATTTGTTAATATACACACAAATAAACAAATGAAAATTTAAAAATAGTTCTTCGAATAGGTACTAGCGAATTAAATTCAAATTCCTATGTAATAAAAAATCAGAAACATTCCCAAATTCAACCAACACCTTAAAGTTTATAATAAAAATATTCAATACAAATTTTAATTTTTAATTTTTTGTTGATCCATTTAATATGCTTTGGCTCCCGCGATGATGTAAAATTTAAAATTGGCCCGTCGATACAAAAAGGTTGCCCACCCCTGTTCTACATTATATATGGGATTTTTATGATTATTGCAGTTTCAGTTGTTCGGTATTGCGGACGAGTTTGCCATTACAAGGTAATTAAAAATAGTTAAAAAGCCAAACGATTTCCTTACGTCCCAGAGTGAAAAGTAGTGAGGTACCTGAAAAATCATTGCAAAAAGGGGTTTAATTTTTTAAAGGAACTTATAGCTTTAAAGGGAAGTAAGCACTTTCGAAAAATAAAGTAACATGTTAACTTCGCTTTTGTGAAGATGAAAGTCACTAGATCGTTTTGGTTCCGCACTTAATTATTAGAGCTTATGTGAATATTTACGCATGGTAAGGCTACCTGAAAGAACTGGGAATAAAAGGGCGGTAAAACTTGAAGTGTGATTATAGTCGACTGACAATTCCGCCATCACAAGCCGATCAAAAGCACAGAACTATCGCTTCCGTTTTTCCTCCTTCTCTGATAGAGTTTAATATCGTTCGGCGTCGTTCGTATAATGTTGAAATTGCCGAACACGGTTTCATTACAACGCGGTATGAAAATGGCGGATATTACAACACGGTTTCAAAAAACCGAATATATAAAGGGCCGGATTTGTTTTGCTTACCTATTCACTTTTATTTTGTCGCCAATAAGAGGAGCTTCAACGGACTTTGAGAAATGGTATAGCCGGGCGACTCTGAGCTATAAATATCGTTCACCACTTCGCCTAATATGGTCATTCACTCATTTTTTTAGTAAGATAACAATAATTATACGTTCTTTTTATCCACGCGCATATATTGCGTGGTCCAAATTCAGCAAAGTTAATTTACTTGTGAAAGATGTCATTACTTTCTAGTTGTTCCCGTCACAGCAAATCACAAATTAGACTTTGTCGTCATAGAAAGGCTTGCTTTCATGAGCGTGTGATCTAAATATAGAGTGTGATCTAAAAGGTGGATCTATGCAATCCAATTTACTAAGGACGAAGTATCCTCACCAAGTATGAAAAGTTAGGCCTATATGGCATGTAAAGGCTTATCTTTCTTTGAAATAATTATATCGGTTGGGATCCAAAAAAGAGACCTACGTGGTATAAGTTCGATAAGGTGAACTTTTATGTCAAATTGTTAGTGGGAACGAATTTTCATCAAGACGTGTTGCCGATTAGGACTCTTTACCATATAACGATGCAGTTCCCGTAGGAATGGCTATATGGCAAGGATTTCAAAAAATTACCTTGTCTGATCCAAAGTTTTTACATCAATCTATTAAGCGACTTTCATTGCGAAATTCTGAAAATCACACTACATTTTGATGAAAATGTGTTTTGATCTAACGATGAATGCTATAGCAAATTTTTTTGAATAGGTGCACTTTTTTGACCACTTCCCACCTGATGCGTTATTTTAGAAAGTAGTTATATGAATAACTTTAAGGCAAAGTAGGGTATTTAAATGTAGACCGTTACGCACTGTAGTGTTTTCTTAATGTTTTTTGTTTAAATTTCTGTTTTTCCAGGAATTATGTAAAGTTTCTTAAGTAAGTGCACACAATTCGCATCAATTTGAACTAAACTACATTTGAGAAATCGACAGATTTTGCTATGATGAACTAATATTCCATCAAAATTTAACTAAGCTTCTAAACAACTTGTTTTCGTCATACATTTTTTCATTGTCAACAAGAAAATTTCCGTTTTGTGGAAAACAGAAAACATGTAATTAATAGCAAACATTGGACATGAGCTCGATCCACCGTAAATGGAAAAACCAGAAAATGTAAACGACAACAAAAAAAACCTTAACTCTTGGAAAACAAATGATTATTTGTTATATTCGAGAAGAATTTGTTAGAAACTCCTGGCTCTTATCCATCTGACATCATTATATTTGCTTAGGCATTCTCTAAACTCTTTTATCTGGCATCGGCATGAAAGTTCATGTAAATCATTTTCTTACTTATTTTAAATTTTAGCAAGAGTTTCATTCCATTGTGTTTATTGTAGTTTTCATTTGACCATTAAGCTAAGCATTTGTATGCTCCAAAAACTAATCATAGGTTTTGGACTGCAGCCAACTAAAGAAAGAAAATGCGTACGAGTCACTTAGACATTCGTTAGCAACGGATGCATTAGTGAGGTGACTGAAATCATTTAAATACTAAAGTTTACCGTAAATATTTGAGTTAAATTTTTTGAATTATATTTACGGTATAATGAATCATAAGTGATTGGGGAAAATGTTTTGAAATCGTGCCCATAGTTACAAGAACATCACTGAATTAATTGATTTCTAGAGACAATGTAAATGGCTATGTTTGTGTATTGTATCGATTTATTATTGATTTCATCAAACGTCATCAGTCGATTTCGTACGTCTTCTTTTGCAATCCGTTTCATATAAATGTTCATTTTTTTATATTCTATAATGAAAATCGGTTCATAATAGCAATTTGAGATAAAAACTAACCATAGAAAATTTGAATTGGAAATGCCTACCTTTTAGATTGCAGGGCTTCTTACGGAGAGCAAATTCTCCCATTTTTGACAAAACCAGATGAAAAACAAATAAAATTATACGGCATAGTTGGGCACTATCTAGCATTGAACAACGCAGGTTACTCTACAGCTACTCATCTCAAGACTTTTCAAAATGAAGTATTATATGGGAAGTAGTCGAAAAAATCGGCCGATTCGAACCATTTGCAAAAGCGTTCGCCCTCGTCAATGAACACAAGAAAGCAAAGCGAACAGACGACCGGACGGACGGACGGACGGACGGACGGACACACTTAAATCAAATCAAAAAGTGATTCTGAATCCTTTTGCATAAAGAAATAAGAATATAAGTTTAGACCACGTCACAGTCCAGTATCAAGTACGTCCCTATCTGGAAGTAACGATACAATTTTTCACGTACTATCGCAAAAATTACATGCAACATTTTATTAGGCAAAGTGGTGCAGGGCGTTGAATTGCCCGGCCCTTGAAGTCGGCCCAACTGCCCTCTTTACAGTTCTTTATTTCTAGTTAATTCTTATTCATAGGTGCCAGTAATCAACTTATGAAGCTATCGTGTTATGCTAACAAGTGTTTCACTTAAATGCATGTAAAAGACTTAAGTGATGATGTAATTTCACAAGAAAATTTCTTGTTTATTGTCGTCTGTTGCCGAAAATGTTCTTTTTAATCCCAATTTAGGTCACTAAGATGACAATCAGAACGAGTTCAACGCTGTTATATATTTCTATGAATTTGTTTTTTATTTTCTTCATTTAATTATTTAGAATACAATGTTAAATTATTGCAAAAAAAAAAACATTTAAACATTTGTGAAATTATTTGACAAAAGTTTCGCAAGATTTAAGCGGCCTAAATACATTGATGGGAATATGAACGTACCTTAAACGTGGCAGCTCACAGTATACCCAGTCAGTGACTTCTTCTAATTTGACCTCCTGATGTGTTTTTGCTAAATCCGATTTATTTCCAGCTATTACTATGGGTATATCCTGCAACGAAAGGCGACAGCGACAATAGCAATAAAAACAACAACAGCAGTGACAATGATACATGAAATGTGTTTTATCGGAAAAGCATGCACGTACGTAGACGCATTAGAAACTAAACAATTGTGAATGCATTTTGAAAGCAGCCGCAGCAAATAATGGAAATTTATGCAAATCTCTGATAAGTTTTGTAGCATTTTATGCTGTACGCAAAAATTAAAATGCAGCAAATTCGAAAAATTGTAAATCAAATAAGAAAAATATGAATAATTCATAAAAATGCAAAAAAAAAAAAATTATTTATTTTTGTAACTTTTTTTTTTTTTTTGAAAAAACTAAAAACAAAAAATCCTCTGAATAAAGGCAAAGATTCGTAAAAATCTTTGAAACAAATGAAAAAATTTGGTTAATTACCTGAAAGTCCGCCCGTTGTTCGCGTATCTCTTCGAAGCATTGTTTAACGCATTGAAAACTTTGGCCGGATGTTATAGCGTAGACCAGCATGAAGGCATGTGCTGTAGCAATCGATAAGCGTCGCATAGCAGGAAATTGCATATCACCAGATGTATCCAAAATGTCCACCTGCATGAGTGGAAAAATGCAACCAAAAAGAAAGAAAGAAAGAGAGAGAGAGAGAGAGAGAGAGAGAGAGAGAGGAAGAAAATAAAGTGAAACGTGCACAATTAATGATTTAATTGAATTTATATTCGATTTAATTTATTATCGCTACAGAATTGGCCGAAGATTGTCAATAATGAACACAAATCAATAGTAAATGAGAGAGGGAGAGAAGAAGGCAAAAAAATTATATCGAGATCAGATTTTTTAAAAATGTTGTTAAATAATAATTCAACACACGAGAGTGCATTTAAATTAAATGAAATGGAAAATTTTAAAGGGCCAAAGAATATATACATATATGTATATATGCGACATTTCCATAGCGAATTTGTACCTTACGCCACTTGTTTTATTGAATATATTAAGTTTATCCGCACATATGTAATACCCAAGAGGACTTGAGGTAGACCGAACCTTCATTATGCCGACTCAGAATCCTTCTCTGACTTGATTATAAGCTGGTCCGTCCGTTCTTGTATACCAACGTTAATTTTAGCGATATTTTGATGTGGTCTAGTACACTGATATATTTTGGACCAATGACGAACTCTATTAAAAATGGTGCAGATCGGATCACTTCTTCGACCACTCTCAACATAACGCTCTTCTTTGAAAAGCTGTCATATGAAAATCACTAAGTAAGAATGTTTTGGTATTCTAAATTTGTGTGAAAAATTTAAAGCGGATAGGGAACCGCTGCTATGTTATGCTTTCTATAAAACTTGAGCCTTCATATGGTCAAAAGGTCTCACTTTCAATGTTGTCCGACTAAAGTTTGTTCATAATAATAACTTGACAAGTCGATCAACCTTCTCGAATTTGGACCATATAGGTCTAGGAGAATTCTAATAAAAAATAACTTTAGCAAAAATATTCACTTTTTGCTGTTTGACTTAATTGTGCCATATTTAGGTCAACTAGGTCCATTTTGGGTATCATCGCATACGAGGTTTTTTTTTGATATATATTAACTCATATTGAAAATGGTTTCGTAGTGACAACCTAGCAAAAAATTTAACTGAAACGAATTAGGTTTCTTTTTTAGGTCACATCTCCGTAGAGGGAGAGCAAGCCCTTCTATCGCGACACAGTCTAATTTATAGTTTTTTATGACGGAAGCAATTGAAAAATAATAAGATCTTTGAAAAATAAATTAAGCAGTCAATGTATTGACCACTTCTCAATATGAAAGATATGCCTCTACATAAAAATAAAGCGTAATTTTTGTTGTCTTGTCATTAAGTTATACTTTCTGTATAGATATATACACATATAATACTTTGTATCATATATAGACGATCAACTGGTCGACCTTGCCCGACTATAATGCTCTTACATGTTTCAGATGTAATTTACGTTAAAGTTTACGTAAAGAGTTGTCTACACTAAACACTGTCCCTGAGGGACGGACAACGTTGATCCTTTAAAGATATGATGAAAACATGTTGTGCAACACATTTTGATTTGATTGGGCAATAAAAGAGACTTGAGCTAAAGTAAAATATTCATATCGGTAATTATGCTGAACAACTGTCCGTTTCTCATTCGCATTCTTTTTGCTTTTTATTGATATCTTTACGCACTAAAATATGCTGCATTGCTAATTATCCAATGATTTTTCTTGTTCTCTGTTAGCTTACGTTGTGCATAATAAGTGCTTTCGTTTTAATAAAATAAGCGAACGTTATTATAACATCTGTAAATCGGACACTTGATGTTTTGCTTCCAATTATTCGGTTTGTTAGATCACATGCGATTTATTTTGCTGTTTTTCACTCCTGTCTGCTAAACGAATTTCAATTGCAATCATCCATCCATTCTGATGACTTCACTACAGCTAAAATGCGCGCAATTGATTTCGCTGTTCCTAAGTCCTGCCTTTGATTAGGTACTTTGTTTTTTATTTGCTGATGACTTCCCTACCAGACGAACCATTAACATCGGATATACAATTAAATATCGCCGGCATTTCTGTTTAGAGCAACGACTGAGTACAATGCGTTATGCGCTGCTCGTTATTTATCTGTCAGTTATATATTTAGTTGAAACACGGACGCAATGTAATGAAAAGTCGACACGAAAATCAAGAATCAGTTATCGTAATTTTCGAGCACAATGCAATGCAATCGAATCCATACGACGGATCTCACCTAGAATCCATTGGCAAGACTGAGCTGGAATTGCATACATTTGCGCTGTATGCATAATCGCCAAAAAATTATTCTTCTAATTACTGTTTCAGTCCATTGATCCCTATCCCTACCCTGCCCTAAGCGAGGCTTTCTTTCTTAAGAGACGTCCAAAACAAAATTGATGCTTTTTTGGACAAACTGACCAAGAAGACCTGTTGTTTTTTCGTCGATGGTTCGCTGCCAAGTCAATCTCTTTCTGCCAACGCGGCTTCGTCACGTTGCCAGAAAAATGCGAAGAAGAAGTCAAGAAAGAGAAAGAGAAGGTAAGTGGTGGCCGCATCCTGATGAGTGCAGACTCAATCCGTAAGTTTTCTGCCTTTACCGACTGAGCACTCACTACACGATTAAAGTAAACTCTACCGCACATAGAATTTGAACACGCGAACAGTGACTGAGTAGTCGCGATACTTACATACCCAGCTACCCTTACGGAAGATAACACTTTTAAAGGGATATACCGCAGTCATATTCTATATTCACTCGTTCTAGGTTCGCTCTCTCTTGGAAAAAACTTTAAATTTATTTAACATGCCAATGTTTAAAAAAAGAAGAAGAAAAGGAAAAAAATTGATGCAGGTGTTCATTCATCAAATATTCATACGGAATATTTCCATCCACTAACAAAATTGTCTAAAAAGAAACGTAACGCGTAAACATTGGAAATCAGGTCATTTACTTTTTGTGATGGCCATGTGGGGTTTCATTATTTTACCCACAGACATTCTGCTATTGCAAGAAATTTATATACAATTTGCGTTGATAACGGTATGCTATCGTACCGCATACGATTCAAATATAATTTTTTGCTTAGTGCTTAGTGCTTAGTGCTTAGTGTTGGCAATCATAGCTTTATGCGCTATGAAACTATTATAGAAGCCTTTATAGTGTGTTGTGTGGATTGGCAAAAACAATCAACTAACCAATCTTTGATTGAAAAGGATAAAGACTTCTTTTTTTTTGCTTTCATTATAATACGGCTAAAAAGCAAATTCCAGAGGTACAACAACGCTGGCAAAGTAGTAAACTACAACGAGAATTAAATATACGGATGATTTATATCAATGATAGCTAACCGTTCAACTAGAAAATGTTAAATAAGGCGAAAACTTCTTAGCCTAACACACTATTGAGGGATGACTTAATGAATCAAAATATGTTTATCTTTTTTATTGTCTTCTTTTGGAACACAATACATTTTTCATGTGTTGCTGCCGTTTATTTGAAAGTAATTTTAAGCAAGAGCTTCATATTTCTCTCTGACTTATTTATCTGATGAAAATAGTAAAGACTTGAGATATGAAAGCTGATCAAAGAAACTATTGCGTGCATTGAACGCTTTCATAGTTCTTACTGTAAGATCCTTTATAAGAATCATTTCCTGAATCGATTTAAACTTGTCTGTCCTTCTGTTCGTTTGAGATTCGTTTGGGCTATTTACAGGATCGAAACACATTTTCAATCCCTTCTCATATAATGCCATATTTTAAAATATGGTTATAGCAATAATTGTATTAAGTGAAGCGGGTAGGGTATTTCATGATTCATCATAACACATTCACTTGTTCTTAATTACAAAAATGTATTTAATCCTTTTCAGATATCAGTCTTCCAGGAATACTAAGAGGTTTTCGCTTTATTTGTTTTACATACATTATAATAATGAACATTTATTCATTTGTTCTTACTCATACATATGTCAATATGATTAAATCAATTATTCACACATTTTTTCCACTCTGTCCATTTATTTTATATCTCTCTTATCTGTATATCATCGAACACATATTACATTGTTTTTCTTAAATATTAATGAAATATAATACGAGGAAAACATATGTTTGCAGTGTTATGTGCTTATTGTGAAAATGAATGCATTGTTTTTTTTTTTTTTTTTTTTGCTTTTATCTAATTTTCAGTCATTTTGATAACCCTAAGTAAGAAATTAATAATATAGTGAAAAGTATGTGTGTATATATACGGTAACAGTAGTTTTTTCAATGGACTCTTTATTGTGTTTTATCTGGTTACTATACTCATAGACCACACTTGGCAAATAATTTAATTGTATAACAAGTGGGAGAGCTTTGCACTACTCATGACTAACCTTTGATTTCTGCTCTGTAGCACACTTTGATGGGTCGGTAGAGTCGCCTAATGGGAAATCTACGATTCCATCAATGATCAACTATTTAATGTAGAGAAGATCAATCGCACAACGAACATGTAGATTGGCAAGCAAGTAGAAAAGAGAAAAGCATTAATCAATACACCAGATTTATGGGACCGTGTCAATTGGACGGGTAAATTTTGTGAATCGTACCGGCCGTAAAAATGGGGATAGGAAATTTAAACTTGTCTTAAGCGTTACTTCATCGAGTTTGGAAAGGGAGCGTCGTCCTTTTTCCTATTTTCCTATTATTTATAAGCCTGTGACGCTGGTATCCACCAGGATCACTTTCACATTCAGAAGTGGGTCTAACCACTTTACTAACACATCCACAATCTGCGATAAAATCCCATCTAATGTGCCTTAGAATGAATGGGAAAAAATGAGAAATAAATTGAAAATAGATTGAAGGTAAAATTTTGTCGTTGATTGTGCAATTATTAGTAAGCCGATCGGAGCAATTTTGCACTGAAGTCTCTCAGAAATATAATCGCGGAATCAAAGGTTATAAACGAATATTTCAACAAATTGTGTTTACCTTCCGAGGTGGTTTTAGTTTCTCCTGCATTCTGAGCGTTTACATGAGCAGATCGCGCCCACTTTTCAACCTCGTATTCTTAATCGATCAAGGAATATGTGCGCAAAATTTCCCCATCCTACCTTCATTTTTGCGACTAGCATGATTATCGTATCTTTTTTGCATAATGTCATTAGAAACTAATATATGGCAGCTAAAGACATGGACTTTCTTCTGATGCATTTTTAAAATCGTAAAACTGTCACACTCTCAGCATTTATCTATATTTTACTAGATGTTACAAAGGGTATGTCAAAGTTAATATACACCTAACGGTTGGGGGTGGTAAGTGTAAAAACACACAACAGCTAATTAATTTAAATCTTGTTGCAAAAGGAAAATAAATTGAAGTTTCATTCATTGTCAGAGTAACGTTTCATGTATATATAAGCATATGTACGCACACATCCATGAACAATTGAATGCACGCATATGTGGTATCAAATTGTTTGAGGTATCTTTAAATTAAAATTAATTTTTAATTAGAATTTTTAAAGCACACAAGTTTCCATACGCTAGTAAGGTGAGGTGACGTAGAAACCGCTCTGTAGAAACTGCTCTGCTCTTGTTGTTGTCATAAATAACGAACATGAGGGGGGTTTACCCCAGCAATTATTAAGATTCTCTATACTTGTTGTTTTTTGTTAATAAAAATAAATTGGTTCTAAAGTAGTGATGTTATAAAAAATAACAAAAGAAAAGAAAAATAATTTTTTTTTCATGAAAAACATAAAATTAAAATTTTGAACTAAAGTTCATTCAAAAGCGGATATTTTCATAAATTTCGATGATTGTATCGTATATGCTCGTCGTTGAGTAGATGGTACCCGTAGTGTACAGTAGACACTCTTTACTACGATAGGCTCTTCCGGTGTTATATAACCCCGTCTTGTACCAATCGCTTAGGTCATGTAAATACGTGAACTATTCACATATTACTCGAAGGCATTATCTTAGTTCTTATATTTGAAAAAACTATTAAAGAAAATCGGAGGTAGGTCTACGGTTCTTGTGATCGAGCAAACCCGAAATCGAGTTTGTATTTTGGATGGATGGCACTCTATACCGTACAAGTGTTTGCTCGATATCGACTGTAAAATATTATATTTTAGAACGAAAGCAAACCAACTATCGAGGTTCAGAATGAATATAATTTGACTAAATTAGCGAATATAGGAAGATTACATAGTCTCACTACACCAGTATCTCTACTTTGGTGTCATTAAATTTGAAAAGGTATGAATGTACAATGAACGAATGACAAAGTTTGTGTGAACGACAAAAAGTAGAAATATGTGATTACTAGAAAGTAAGTAAATGCTTTGAAAATCTGATCTTTGATCCGTATGTACGGAGAGGCAGAGGAAAGGAATCAAAAGTCAGTTCAAAAAAAAAAAACGACGAGTTCTACAAATCTGCGGTGAGAACACTCAAGCAAAGTACCAGCAGAGAGCGACGCTCGTTAAAAATATCAGAAGAAAACAAGTAAGAATCTTATAGTCACTTAATAAACACCCTACACTAATTCGCCTAATACACCTACTCGCCTGTTTCAGCAATAATACATCAAAAATTACATATTATTTTCATGCCAAAGCGTTCGTGTTCATGAAAACTCGCACATTGGAAAATGGCCAAAATCTAATGTGATGTGATCGAAATTTAGCCAACTTGGCAAAAATTCTATTATTTTCTAGTTTCCGTCATAGAAAACTAGAAATTATACCTTCTCTCCATATCAGGACTTTTCATGATAACTCTTATAGATATGTTATGATCTAAAAAATATACCTATGCGATCCAAGTGGTGTACTGTTAGTTTGTGTGGTTAATTCGCTACTGCGGATCAAGTTTTATCGTCAAATATTAAAAATGGTATCTTCTTCTGAAAGGCTTACCCTTCAAGGGCTTACCACTTATATGGATTGGGGTCTTAGAACTGCAACCATATTGTTCATATTTGGTCCATTTAATTTTTATGTGTAATTACTATCATGAACACATTTTGACATTAAACTATGAACAATTAGGCCTTTCTGGCATTTTGTTTTTGTCATAAGAGAGTGAATAGCGATGGAGAGAGATGTGTAAATGTCTTTCAATACATAATTTCTGGCTCTTTCTTTTTATGCATTATACGAGCTTCTGTAGCGTGTTATGCGAAAATGACATGTACGCATATATATATATATATATTAAAATTTATGTACATATTTATATGTATAGTTATTTTCATTTTCATTCGTTGATTGAGAGAAATCCAACCGCAAAATATTATCACCTGTGTTGAAATATCTATATGCGAAAATAACAAATTTCGGCTTAAAATGTAAAATGTATAAAATTAAATTAAAATTGGGATTAAAATATGAAAAAAAAAATGATAAACTAGAATAGGCAGCATCTACACGCACCGATGTGATGCACTGCTACAGCCAAATGTAACCAAAGCTATCTGCATATAAGCTGAAAAAATAACCCACATGGACACAAACATTTGCCAAAATATGGCAACCGTTTGTTTAAGAATATTAAAGATTATAGCGTAGGAGCCTTTTAATTTTATATGTGGGTGGAGATAACAAACTGACAGACATTGCCTATATCATGAAAATTACAACAAAGAATCTGAAAGAGATTACGACGTTCGCTATTGTAATCGGACTGAGTATATTTCGTCTACAGAAAATGTCATTACTTTCAGTTTGCGAAAACGCGCGTTTTAATATATTAAACGTAAAGGTCACGCGTAAAAAGAGTCCACGTTTTTTCGGGGAAATTGCTTTAAGAACTTTAAGCCTATCATCGAAAGTAGACAAGGAAAACATTGGATCTATACAAAAGTGCAAATAATAAAAACCTTCCTGAGCCAAGTCAATTGAGTCAAGTTCATAATGTTAGCAAGTTCACTAAAATGGCAACGTTTTTAAAAAATTAAAAAAATAGAATGATCAAGTCCGTAAATATGTAAACTATGCGAGTAAGAGTCATTACGTTTCATCTATCTTACGCGTTACACGGTAGATAAATTTCTCTTACAGTCGTGTTCAAAAGCAGTTCTTTTAGTCGTTTATGGAGTTTAAAGCAAGAAAAACATATAAAATAAAAAAATGGCTCCCCATGTCACTCATGATAATTGTAATTATAAAGATGCAAATAATTTGTAAGATCTAAAATAAAACATAAAAAATTAATGCCAATAAAGTGGGACATCGCCCACCATTAAATCTTTCAGACGTTATTAGGGAAAGGATCGAAAGATTTGTCAGATTCAAGCCATTTTCATTAGCGTTCGTCACTCAGATAAGACAAATATCGCGGCGTGCATGTTGAGCACAAGAAAACAAGACGGGCAGACAGACAGAGGGACAGACAATCTCTGTCCGATTCAGAAAGTGACGCTGAATCAATCCGTACAATAAAATGTGGGTCGATCTCACGTCTCTCTGGGTGTTATACACATCCGTACAAGCTCACTGCCCTCTCATGCCACAATTGGCGTAAAGAGGATATTGAAAAGAAAACCCAAAAACTAAGTATGCAAATTACATTTAACTGCGCCCGAATCTTCTATGCCCATCTAATCTATCTAAAAAAAAAAAAA